AACAATACCGTGTGACTGCAGTTCAATTACTCACTATATACACACACATTACCTTACCGCGTCACGTTTTCCCCTCTTATATATATACTAGCGTACCCTATTTCTAGTAAGAACTTGAACATTCGCCAAAGTACATGATAGTTCTAGAAACGTTGCGTCACGGTGGTCATGTGACTCGCTGACGCAACAATATTAAGTATATTCTAAAATTCTATATAATAATTTTTACGTTCAATTTAATACAGCCTAGTTCAGGATTTAATTGCAAAACAGAAAGTTATTTTCCAAGACTGACAGGGCATGATCATGACTATTTCAAAATTGATTAGCTTTTTTCTAAGGATGGACTAACATATTTAATTTATGTGAGTGGTTACTCATAACTTTAAACTAAATATATTTGACGACGATAATTAAACTTATGTTTTTTGTTTTTTGTAGGTTTTGGTTTCGTTACTTATATTTAGGGATAAAAGATTAGGAAGAAAGTCGTCAGGTGTTTTGTTACTTTACTGGTTCTTTCTGGCTTTGGGTGGAGTTTTTACCTACAGATCTTTTATTTTACAAACATTTGCAAAGGTAAGATTCTCTGTACTTTATTATTAGTTTCATAAACAGTTTCAGTAAAATCAGTATATGTATTGTACAGTTTAGGACAGTATTTGAAAAGTATCTCACACTTTATTCCTGCTCCAAAACATCTCAGAAGGGATCAGTGTTAATAAATATTATACTGCGTTTGTCCTTTCCATAAAACGTAAAAGTTAATATAATATAATATTGTTCTTATTCAAAAGAATGGGAGGATATATTAACGTATTTTAGCTTATAACAAAATTTCGCTTGAAGAATGATAAATGCAGAAAGTAAGACAAAGATAACATTGTCCTTTATGAGAGTTTAAAAGAAACCTTGTCATAGAGGAAAGAAATATGGCGCTGAAGTGTATAATAAGTATTTGTTCTATACTCTAGAACTCTTGTATCTTTACAAATATCTAATATACGTATGTAAAAACAATATATTCCTTTTTTCATAAGTATAGCGTTTCCTTGTTGTAATTCTGGAAGCAATCACACCTCTGAATAGAGTAATAAACTATATTATAAAAGGGTGGGGTAAACTGGCTATTCCCTCAACTAGAAATTAACTTTATTACAAAGCCTTTCAGCTACTTTGATATATATCTCCTCTGGATAAGAACATCTCGTAGAAACTTATCTATCTCAAGATGTTCTTGATCCTTGTCTTTAGGTAAATGTTTGAAGGCTCACCTGGATCAGCATGAGTTGGGATCATTCTATTAGGTTTGCTAATGGAATATGTGAGAGGAGTGACTGATTTTTCATCCAGACATAGTCATCAGTCTGTAATTCCTTCAAATGTCTTGCCTGTGACGTTGATTGAAAAGTTTAAATTGACATGTCTTGATCTCCTCCTAATTATTTTGATCTTAGAAAATGCTAACCGTTTTGATGTGAAGATATGACCAGTACAAGAATGTGCAATTTCCTCCCAATAAGCTATTCTTTTAGACTGTGTTCATTTGATAGGGATGTTTATCAGTATACCATCAAAGTTAGATACTGGTCTTTGGATTTCGTCAGAAGGCTTTTTACTGTTCTCGCAGCACGTTCTTCCTCTCCATTAGTTTGTGAATATTTTAGTCTGGAAATAATATGAGAAAATCCGTACAATCCTGTAAAGTTTTTGAAGTAGTCAGCTGCAAATTGTAGTCCATTGTTCGATATTACCAGTAATTGAATACCGTGGCACGGAAATATTGACTTCAAATGTTCCACTGCAGCTTCTGAAGTTGTAGATGTAAATATTACAACTTTCATATACCTCGAGAAGTAGTCCATTATGAAAATATACATGGAATCTAGACACTGGAAAAGATTGGTTCCTAATTTCTGCTATGGCTTTTCTAGTAATTTCATAGGTATCAATGTCTCCACATTGTTAACTCTTTTCTTCTCTCATTTATCTGTTTTCTACAAGTTTTTTATAGTTCATAGCTTAAACCTGGTCATCTCTATGTTTTCTCTCTGCATTTTGTGATTCCTTGGAGACCCTCATGCATCTTCAACAACATATATCTATAAAGAGATACGATTACTGGTGCCCGTCTCTTTATAATTAGTCCATGCTCTACTGTGAATTCTCTTTCAAAAGGAAAATATAGTTTCAAAGCTTTATCAATATTGGCTTTATAAGGACAATCTTTTCTGCAATACTTATTCAGTTGCTTTCTTCTTATTTCGTGAATATGTCTCTCAATTGCAGTAAGAGTTTGAATAAATGAAGTTACATAAATATTGATTTCTTTCTGAATCTGTGAATCACTTTCTCCTTCTATCAGTGTACTTGAAAATGTGTCATCGTTACTACATTCTTGCCAGAAACATGAAAGATACTGAAGGAATATTTCATGAGTCTTATCCAACATCTGAATTATTGACGGTAATTCATATAAGTTCTTGGAATCTAATAGTGAGACTAATAGCTTATGGTTTGTTTCTATGTAGAGTTTCATTACAATATGATAGTGTTACGACAACGCAGGTCAAGGTGATGCTCGTATCACGCCACTTCCTTCTCGAACCTTCATGAAATGTCGGGAGACTACTAGATTGGG